GGCGGCCGTTCCGAGCCACGAACTGCGCCGTGAGCTTCACCACGTCCAGGTCGAAGGCGGAGATGGACGGAGGGTCCGCGATGAACTCGAACTCCGGGGGCGGCTCCTTCGGAACCACCGTCTCCTGGATCACCTGGGCCTGCACCTGCAGAGGGAATGGACACAGCTCAGTGAATTCCTGCAAGGAACCATTCGAAAACACTCAGGAGAACCCATTTTTCCTTCAGCTGCTGCAGGAAAGCGACACCAGTCAAGATATCCTGGCAGCTGCATGGATGAGAAAAATCAGTACCACAGGGTCCATCTGGCCACCTGTATTTATATTATAGAAAAAAGGTTGTTCCAACAGCAAACAAAACTGGAAACCACCAGGACTTCACTTTAACCCTCCAGGATCATCAGAACCACAGTGTTGGCTGTTGGCCATGCCAAGCCTTGGATTCAGTCCATACCCTTTTCCCACCCAGGACATATAAAGGCACAGCTGAACGAGACGAGCAGTGTTTTGTACTCCATCTTTTAAGGGGAACTTGATCCTTCTGGCAGGAAATGCTTCTACAAAACAGTGTGTGCAACAAGCCCAAACTGAACTGCAAGGGATGCCTCTGGCAAGAGACCTAAACACATCCAGCCCAAGTGATCACTAGTGTAAGCACTGTACCAGTCAATACACAGTAATTAAAACGGATCAATTATATATTAGCTTTTTCAAACACAACTCTGAGTTACCAGCACCTGGGGGATCCACATCTGCATCACAACAAAGCCCCAGATGCTCAACTCCAAGCCTCTCACTACTGTCTTTTTGGCAAATGCATAACCAACTCCTCCTTCTTGACTTTCAGGCCTCCTGTTCAACCCCAGGCTGTGCCAACGCCCCTCAGCAGCCAAGTTCTTCACCACAGTGCTGGAAGGAACACTCACCTTCTGTGGGAGCTGCTGCTGGGCACTCTGCTGCTGCTGCATGACCTTGGGGATGGCAGCTGAGGGCTCCTGGGCCTTGCCCTCCTTGAACTCGCTGACCTTGTGCCGGTAGTAGGCATGGTAGGGGTCGTTGGGGTTCAGGAAGTTGAACTTCGGGTTATTTATCTCATTCTGACGAATTCGGGCTTCAAATTCTGGCCCATTTCTGGGGATGAAGAAGAGAAATTGTTAAAATGAATGGGCATCAACTCAAGTGGAAATGTCTCTTTCAGAGTGAGACGTGTTGAGGCATCAGCCCCTCAGCAGAGAGTTTTCTCTGCACGTGGGAGGAGTTTATCCCTCAGGAACTCACACCTAACACAGCAGCCAGCTGGATACACACAACTTAAAGGCATTTGTCCTCCTAATTTTGTCTCTAATGTGAATATTCCTTAAGGTAGTTAAAAACTCACACTCACAAGTGTCCCACAATCTCACCTGGCTGCACACAAAGGCCATTTCCTGGACTGACCGGATGAAGTTCACAAGTTACTTACTAAACTAATTTTATTTGCTCTACTAACAAGTTTTTAAGACTAATTTCAGTTCCAGAAAGATCATATAAGGAAAAAAAACTGGTAACCATGAGGCTGTACAGGGACTGACCACCCTGGAGTGCTACATTTAGGAGAGCCCCAGTCCAGGTGCCATCCACCCCTCCCACCCAAAGCATGAGCTGTTTATTTTAGGGCAGTTTGGGAAAATTCACTGCTGCCACAGTGTGTTTCTCTTCATATTCCCTGGATACCTCCCAGTCTTGTTTAGACACTCCACCTCCTCCTCTTTACAATCCCCAAGGATAAACACAGTCCCTTCCTTATCCTCAGAGGAAGCCAACGCTCCTTGGCAGCATTTGAGAGATGAGTTACACAATAAGTATCTTTGACTAGAGCAGCATTTAGTGATTCTCTTAAACTCACAACAGCCACCACATTTCAGCACTAAAACGCAGCCATGACTCCTCTTGGCTACATCACCAAGGCTTCCCTTTCCAGCTGGGATTTGTTCTCCTCCTCAGATCAATCAGAACAGGCCCTATTACTGGTTATTGCAGCACACACTGCACATTTCAACAAGAATTTTATTCATTTACTACCAGTTTCTCTAGTGCGTCTTACACCTCTTCAGCAGAATTTTGTTGTTTCTTTTCCAGTCTCACTGGTCCAGACTCAAACCTTACAATCCTTCACATAAAACCACAGGACTGTGACCTGTTTCAGCTCCTGGAGCTGCCCTGAAGAGGAGAAGAATGAAAATCCCTGGAATCACCAGATCAGTGTCATTTACCTGGCTACAAAGCTGGCAGTCTTGTCCACAATATTCCTGACCTCTGGAGGAGGGTAAATAATTCCCACCACGGGCTTGGCTGGTGCTGCTTCCTCTTTAGGCTCCTCTTCTGGCTGTAATAAAAATTATTTCATTACAAAAGGTGAAGGGGTGTCAGAATTAGGCATTCCAAACAGCAATCCCAAGGGAACACGGGGCCATTTATCCATCCTCCTCCTCAGCCTCCCAGGCACTGAATTCTTCCTGACACAAGATCTGGCTGAACAGCCCGAATCATCCATCCTACTAATTAATTCCTTGGTTTTTAAGGGTGGGAGACATGTGTCTGCCTGTCAGGGACACCCACTGCAGGGACAGGGACAGGAGGACAACAAGGGAGGCCCCCCATGGAAATCAAAACAATTCCTCAGGGCATTTTTACCATCTCAGCCTCAACCCTGAGTAGCTTAGCAAATATTTAAAGGGGCTCTAATAACACGTCCTGGAATATCTCAGCATTCCTAACCAGGTGTGGAAGTTCTGAATATTCCTAGAGGTGTGTGGGACTACAAGGAAGTAAAACCCGAGTGATTAAGTCCACGTTAAATAAAACACAGTTTTTAATCCTACTGTGGTTGCATCAGAAGCAGTTTCATAGAGAAAAGCTCTGCAGGGTGTTTTTCTCACTGATATTACAGGAGGATCCAAACTAAAATCCCAGAACCCTCCCTGTGGATGGCTTTCTATTCCAGTAAAACCAGAGGCTGCAGGATACTAAAGAATGTTGCTCCTTTCCTCACCAAGCAGCTTTCCAAGAAAAGCTGTTATAAGTCAGGACAGGTCTATGGGAAACTTTTATAATCCTAACAGGGACAGTCAGGGAAAACTTAAAATCCCAGTAAAGCTCCCAGTTCTGCCAAATCTATGGGGACTCCAAGGGGAAAAACAATCCCAAGTCAAACTGATCCCTGGGAGTATCCAGGGCCAGGCTGGATGGGGCTTGGAGCAACCTGGGATAGCAGAAGGTGTCCCTGCCCATGGCAGGGGGTGGGACTGGATGGGCCTTAAGGTCCTTTCCCACTCAAACCATTCCATGATTCCATGAAATATGACCTTTATAAAAGTGTTTAAAGAGAAGGGTACCATGAATATTTTTAGTTTTCATTCCCACTCCCCCAGAACATGATCCTGAGGAGCTGAAGGATCAGGCAGCACCACACTTGAGATGCTGAGTTGCCTTGGTAACGTCTGTGCATGAAACTCACGGGGTTTTTTTGGGGGGAAGCCACAATTTTCCTCCTAAATGTGTTAATACACCCAATCACCCAAGGTTTTCAGTGGGATCAGCTCCCTCTCCATCTCCACAAGGGCTGATGCTGCTGTGTGAGGGTCGGGACAGCAGCTCCAGCTGCATGGGAGCTGTATTCCCATTTCAGGAAAGGTGGGAAGAATATGAATAAGGACAAGACAGAAAGGATCCAGGAGACTACTGGGACACACAGGAATGCCATGCTCCCTTGGACATTTAATCCTTCCATGGGCTGCTCCCAGAGCTCCCGGTGACCCTCCACACCCATCACAATCACAGCCCTGGGGCACTGCCAGGAGAGGGCTCAGCACCCACCCAGCTCAGCAGGATGGAGCTGCCTAGTGAGGAATCCTGGAATGCTTTGGGTTGGAAGGGACTTTAAAGCCCATCTCATCCACCTCCTGCCATGGGCAGGGACACCTTCCACTAGTCCAGGTTGCTCCAAGCCCCGTCCAAACTGGTCTTGGGCACTGTCAGGGATGAAGCAGCCACAGCTTCTCTGGGCAACCTGGGCCAGGGCCTCCCCACCCTCACAGGGAAAGATTCCTTTCCAGTACCCAATCTAACCCTGCCCTCTGGCAGTGGGAAGCCATTCCCTGTGTCCTGTCCCTCCATCCCTTGTCCCCAGTCCCTCTCCAGCTCTCCTGGAGCCCCTTTAGGCCCTGCAAGGGGCTCTCAGCTCTCCCT